TGGAATTCCATCACCTCCACTAGCTTTGTTCATAGTGATGCTTTCTAAGGCCCACTTGACTTCACATTCCAGGATGTCTGGCTCTAGGTGAGTGATCACACCATTGTGATTATCTGGGTCATGAAGATCTTTTTTGTACAGTTCTTCTGTATATTGTTGCCACCTCTTCTTAGTATCTTCTGCTTCTGTTAGGTCCATGCCATTTCTTTCCTTTATTGAGCCCATCTTTGAGTGAAATGTTCCCTTGGTATCTCTAATTTTCTTGAAGAGATCTCTAGTCTTTCCCATTCTGTTGTTTTCCTCATGTCACAAACCTCCATCCATAGTTCATCAGAATGTGGTCCACTGGAGAAGGGCATGGCAGACCACTCTCAATGGCAAGTATTCTTGCCTTGAGAACCCCATGAACAGTATGAAAAGGCAAAAAGATAGGACACTGAAAGATGAGCTCCCCAGGTCGGTAGGTGCCCAATATGCTACTGGAGATCAGTAGAGAAATAACCCCAGAAAGAAGGAAGGGATGAAGCCAAAGCAAAAGCAATACCCAGCTGTGGATGTGACTGGTGATAGAAGCAAGGTCCGATGCTGTAAAGAGCAATATAGCATAGGAACCTGGAATGTTAGGTCCATGAATCAAGGCAAATTGGAAGTGGTCAAACAGGAGATGGCAAGAGTGAATGTCAACATTCTAGGAATCAGTGAACTAAACTAAGATGGACTGGAATGGGTGAATTTAAATCAGATGACCATTATATCTACTACTGTGGGCAGGAATCCCGTAGAAGAAATGGAATAGCCATCATGGTCAACAAAAGAGTCCGAAACGCAGTACTTGGATGCAATCTCAAAAACGACAGAATGATCTCTGTTCGTTTCCAAGGCAAATCATTCAATATCACAGTAATCCAAGCCTATGCCACAACTGGCAACGCTGAAGAAGCTGAAGTTGAACGGTTCTATGAAGACCTACAAGACCTTTTAGAACTAACACCCAAAAAAGATGTCCTTTTCATTATAGGCAAGTGGAATGCAAAAGTATGTAGTCAGGAAACACCTGGAGTAACAGGCAAATTTGGCCTTGGAGTACAGAATGAAGCAGGGCAAAGGCTAATAGAGTTTTGTGAAGAGAATGCACTGGTCATAGCAAACGCCCTCTTCCAACAACACAAGAGAAGACTCTACACATGGACATCACCAGATGGTCAACACCAAAATCAGATTGATTATATTCTTTGCAGTCAAAGATGGAGAAGTTCTATACAGTCAGCAAAAACAAGACTGGGAGCTGACTGTGGCTCAGATCATGAACTCCTTTTTGCCAAACTCAGACTTAAATTGAAGAAAGTAGGGAAAACCACTGGACCATTCAAGTATGACCTAAATCAAATCCTTGTTTACTGTAACCACCACTCAGTGCAGACCTGCTCTATGTCTGCAGTCATTTGAATCCTCACTGAAACCTGCAAAATGTTTTTAGACAAAGAAATGGAAGACCTAGAGAGTTGCAGTCATTTGTAAACTGGTATAAAGGAGGCCAACATGTATCAACCTCCTCCGCAGGAGAGGTGTTTGGATGTTTGGGCGGAGGGGGTGGGGGTGTGGCTGGGACCAGAGCCACGGGCTGGAGTTCTGCAGCCTCTGCCTGCCACCTCATCCCTACTGGACCTGAATTTCTCCTGGCGCAACCCAGGGAAGCCAGAGGCCAGCAGCATGTGACTTAGAAAGAAACGGGGCGGGTCCCTTCTCAGAAATTCCAGGGACTCGGCTTAGTCCAGGCGGAACTCACACAGCCCTCGGCAGAGGCAGGGCTGGGATGACTTCATGTTTGGGTTAGGGACTTTCAGGATGGGACAAAGCTTGTCTTTATTTCAGAGCTGATGACCTCTTGTCTGAGTGGGTGACCTCCCTCCTAACTGATGAGAGATAAGATTCAAACTCCTAATGACATATACCCACAAGGCATCTGAGCAGCCCACCAGCACTTCCTGACACCTGCTGGGTGCCACCCACTGCCTGGGTGCCTGGGACACTGGCTGTGCCGTGGAGACTCTATCCTGATAAAGCTCACCTTTGCATGAGCATTGGCATCATCTGGGGAGCTCTGACAAACACCTGCACTTGGCCTCCACCTGAGACCAATTAAATCAGAATCTCTGGGGTGGGACCCACACTTTGGCATTTTTCTAAAGCTCCCAGGTTGATTTGCAGCCAAGGCCAAGAGCAACTACATCAGTGATTAAAAGCCCAAGTCTGGTGAGCATTTTTATCTTGCATCAGACTCTTAAAAGAGTTTTACATATGAAAATGTTAACTGATTTGCTCTTCATGTGACCTTTGGAGGTAGATACTACAGTCATTATCCCTATTTTACAGGTGAGGAAACTGAGGCAGGAGTGCCTGGTGCTAGAGAGTAGCAGGCCCAGGATTAAAGCCCAGATGGGCTGATCCCTGAGCCCGTGCACTTGAATACCGCACAGTGTTGCCAGGTGGGATAAGACTGGTCTTGCGTGGATGTGGAGGAGAAAAGGATCTGGAAGTCAGAGCGGGCCACCGGCCAAATACAGATGTCACTTTAGTGGGGAATGCATGGGGTTTTTTTGGCGTGAGAAAGACCCTAGTTCAAATCCAAGGGCTTTCACGCCTCCGCTGCAGGACCCTGGATCAGGAAGTCATTTAACATTTCGGTGCCTCAAGTCTCCACACGGGTGAACACCGAGCTGTTCTGAGACGGCAAATGAAAACACCCAGCACAGGGCCTGGAAAGCGGCAGCGGCGTGGAGGGTGTTCAGTGAGGGCTAATTCTGGTAATCCCACCGCCCCCTATCTAGCCCACAGGAGTCTCCGCAAAGAGCCCTGAGGGGCCCCTTAGGACCGCCGGCAGCTCAGGGCGCACCCCGCGCGCCCCCCCCCGCCCCAGGGCCGAAATGGATTCGTTTTGAAAGAACGTTGTTACAACAGACTGTTCTTCCCCAGCCAAGACGTGAGCTCTCTTTAATCCACACGCCTGATCACACGGCTGGACTCGGCCAAGCCCGCTTCGCGTCCACGCAGCGCGGGCTGACGGGAGCCCCTCCGGAAGGCCCGCGAGAGCGGTGTGCGCATGTGTCAGGCCCAACCGTCGCCTCAGGGGCCTCTCCGGTCAGGCGCGACCTCACAGCTGCTCGGGGGTCGGGGGCGGTAAACGGCTCCGGCGGGAGCTGGAGCAACGCGAGAGCTTCCCCACCGCCTCGGGGCGGGGTGGGAGAGACGGGGCGCGTGTGTGGGGCCGCCAAGGTGAAGGTGGGAGAGCACCGGCCCGGCCCTTGGCTCAGGCAGGGGCATTTTTTTTTAAATTATTTACCTTTTCATTTTATTTTTTTCGGCCGCGCTGAGTCCGTTGCTCGGCAGACTGTTCCGTTGCCGCGAGTGGGGCCTGCGCCCTAGTCGCGCCGCACCGGCCTCTCGGCGGTGCCTCCCCTTGTTGTGCGGCGGGGTCTCTGTGACTGTGGCTCGCGGGACGCAGTTGCCCCGGACACGTGGAAGCCTCTGGGCCAGGGACCGAACCTCTGTCCCCTGCATCGGCAGGCTCACGCGAAGCCACTGGACCTGGGCATGGGGCTGAATCTTTGAGGGCCTCAGTTTTCTCCTCAGAAAAAGGGACTTGCTAACAGAAGTGCGGTTGAAACTCGATCGGGGTGATGCCTCATGGGCAGATCATGGCCACTCATTGAGTGGTAGTTATTAGCAGTAGTGGTTTTTATCCTTTCAAATAATGTGTAATAAACAGGAGGAGTGGCTCTAGCCATAAAACTGAGTTTAATGCTGTGATACCATGAGCTACTGCAAATCCAGTATATAATATCTGATAAACAGTAAGTTATATCAGTGAATTTCCAAATCCAACAATAGTATTGAATAAAATATCCATAAATAAGAATTGGTGTATCCATTCAAATAATATCAAATAAGTAGGGGTAATAATTATAACCACTAAAATAATTTTAATGCCGTTATCGTGGGCTATTGTGAATCCAGTAGCCGGTACACAACACCCACTGAAAAAAAGAGTAGCAGTGATATTCATTAAAGCGGTTTTTAGAGTTTGTTTTATTTTTGGCTGTGCCAGCCTAGGTCTTCTTTGCGTTTCTCCAGCTGCAGAGAGCGGGGACTGCTCTGTGCCGTGGCNTGCGTTTCTCCAGCTGCAGAGAGCGGGGACTGCTCAGTGCCGTGGCCTCGCCCCTTCTGGAGCCTGAGCTCCCGCGCACAGGCTCTGGTGCGGCGCCGGGGCTTCGCGCCTCCGCACGGGCTCAGTCGCTCCAAGGCTTCTGCGATTTTCCTGGGCCGGCGATCACCCTGTGCCTCTTGCACTGACAGGTGGATTCTTTACCACTGAGCCACCAGGGAAGCCCCTCATTAAAATAATTTTAACACCGTGATTATCGTGGGCGACTGTGAATCCTAAATGAGAGATGTGATCAAAGACTTCCTGTGGCAAGGGTGGAGTCGGGGAGGGTCCCGCTCCAATAGCTGGCAGACCGCTATTGATGGGGACACAAAAATTGATATGAAAAGCAGGCCCTTCTGCCCTGGTCGGCTGGGGATCAACCATCGCCCCTCTGTGACTGGCTCCCCTTCCCGACTTGAGGAGAAAGGAGAGCCTCTCTCTCCCCACGGGCGTGGCAACCGCGCTGCCACAAACACCCCAATACCCAATCCAGAGGCGGGTCCGGCCTCACACGGCGGACGATGGAAAACGACCAGCAGAGGGCGCCCCAAACCCGCAGGGCCGACGGCTTTGCGCTTGAGGGTTGCCCAGGGAGTCTTGGGGGGAGGGGCGGTTCTGGGTTTTGGCCTCGAGCTGGGTGCCAGGGCAGGCCTTCTACAGAAGGATCTCCGGACTGTGGACGAGGCTAAGGTGACTCGCTGGTGACGATGGAGAAGCAGGAAGGCAGGGGCGTTCTGCACCCTCTCTGGCCCCGATCAGAGCTGCTCATGACCTTGGGGGTGGTGAGAGGAGGGTCTGGTCCTTCCTCTGCGTAGGGGAACTGTGTCTACTCAGACAGAAGCTCTTGGCTGCACCCTCCCTGCTCAGCTGCCCTCCAAGAACACTTCCACCCACTTCTCAAGGAGGCAACTCTGCAGGGCGGCCTTCCCAGCGTGAGCAGGTTTGAGTAGGGGTCCCACCCAGGTGACTACCACAAGGGCTTAAGCTGTCTGTGTATCAGTTTCCTTGTCTGTAAAAATGACAGAGATAATCCTAATGGACCTGCCATAGAGGTGTGCTGGGAGGATGGGTGAGCAACGCCTGGCTTCAGCATGGGCTGCAAAAGGGCTGCACGTGCCCACTGCCGCTGTCATCTCCCTCCTGAACAATTCAGGCAACCTTTCTACCCCGCACTCTCTAGAGTCCTTAGTCCACCTTCATCTCCCCCCACATGGCCCCCACTGTCTTCTCCTGCCCCCTAAACAATCTCCCCCTGCCAGACTCCCAACCTAGTCTTGAACCCTCCCACCCACCACCTACCCTGTGGCCAAACTGACTTTCCTAAAATGCAAATCTAGTCATGTTGCTCCCTGCATAGTATCCACCAAAGGCTCCCCATTAAATTCGGGATTAAGTTTCAACTCATTGACGTGATTTACGAGGCCTTTGGTCATCTGGCCAATGCCTGGGCTCCAGCCTCATCCCTGTAAGGGACAGCCAGGGTCCATCCATGGGGGTCCAAGGCAGGTTGGAAATTTGATACTTGATAGTTTTTAAATATTTGCACACTTTCCCAAAAGGAAACTGCATTTTTAAATGAATATTAAAGGCATCCCTCTCTCTCCTGGTAAACCCAGTGGCTTTAGATGCTGTCCTCTGAAGTGACCTGCCAGCTGATCTGGAGGTGTCTCATTTGACATTTCCTGCCCTCATTGGTGGGTCATTCACCCTCCTTAAAGGCTGACTGTACCTCAGGTGGATTTAGTCTCAAAGTCTTGTTTGCCATAAGGAACCTCTGCCTTGCTTCTCCAAATTGGGGCAGTGCTCAGAACCACAGTCCTTACCTAGATCATATGAGAACACAGATGGGTCAGTACCAGGCAGAGGTACTTTTGAAATCTCCACCTAAGGGCATTGTTTGGAGAGGATGGTACGAGGTTCTGATCCCCCGTCCTGACTCATTTCCACATCACTGACTCATTCCTGAGGTCTGCATGCTCCATGGTGGGTGCCCCAGGCGGGCTGGTCCCTCCACTCAGCCTGGATGACACCATCACAAAACCAGTTCCCCGTCTGTCTCCTCCTGACTCAGGGGCTCGCAAACATTCAGACCCAATGCTTCTTTTGTAAAACTTTTTACTTTGTAATGTGCCTCTATTTCCTGAAGTTGAATACACAGGTATGTAATTCACCTGTACCTGTGTTTTCCAAAACAGCAATATAATTCCCTCATTATAATACAAAGGAGGAGAATTAAAAGGAAGGTAACGTGTCATAAAATCACACGAAGAGAATCAGAAGCTTGTCCTGTACCAGGATCACCAGGAAGGCAACAGCCACAAGTGCAGACGGTCACAGGTGTGCCCTGTGGGTGAGGCCGTTGGTGACGCGGTTTTCCAAAATGGTGACCAGCTCTTGGTTACTGTCCAAATGAAACAGAACAGCCTTCCCTTGATTGACACAGTGGTTGCACTCCTGGAAAATTCAGTGACTATTAAAATGGGACAGGAAAAGAAAATTTGCACTTACATGTTAGGTGAAGTTAGATTCTAGATGCAGATAATTTCAAGCCAAGTTTTCGCCTACATGAATGCCCGATGAGACTTTGGACTGTCATGGGGTGCGTGGGCTCATCTCTGTTATGGAGGCTACGGGACACTGCAGGACATCAGGCCTTCCCACGCACTGGTGCCTCCAAGTGCCGGTGGCTGCCCCACACACTTTCTGAGGACACACGTCCAACAGAGGCAGGGGCAAGTCTGCCCCCAGGAGCACGAAGGGCTAGTGGGCTAAGCCATCCCTTCCCAGGTCTTGGCTTATGTTGTTTTTTCCTTCTTCTCATGAAGGGAGCATCTACTCTTCCTCCAGGAAGCTCGCCTTGATGCCACCAGGCTGGGGCAGTGCCCTTTCCTGCCCTAAGGCACCACCCATCAGACTTGGAGAACCTTGATAACTCCCACAATCAACCCATTCTCCCACCCACAGCAGCAGCTCCCTGGATATTCTGTATCTTTTTAAATTTAATTTTTATTTTACATAATGTAAACATTTTATAAAATATACTTATATTTTATATTACTATTTATTTAATTTTTATTTTATATTAGAGCACAGTTGATTTATGTTGTGTGTTAGTTTCGGGTGTACAGCTAATTTATTCAGTTATACATATGCATATATCTATTCTTCTTCAGATTTTTTTCCCTTATAAGTTATTAGAGAATATTGAGTAGAGTTCCCCATGCTGTACAGTAAGTCCTTGTTCATTATCTACTTTATTTATAATAGTGTGTGTAGGTTAATCTCAAACTCTTAATTGATGCCCCTTCCCACACTTCCCCTTTGGTAACTGTAAGTGTGTTTCTGAGGTCTGTGAGTCTGTATCTGTTTTCTGGATAAGTTCATTTGTATCATTTTTCCCTTTAGATCCCACATATAAGTGATATCATATGATATTTGTCTTTCTCTGTCTGACCTTCCTTCACTTGGTGTGATCATCTAAGTCCATCCATGTTGCTGCAGATGACATTGTTTCATTCTTTATGATGGCTGAGTAATATTCCATTGTACATGTGTACCACAGCCTTACCCATTCCTCTGCTGATGGGCATTGAGGCTGTTTCCATGTCTTGGCTATTGTGAATAGTGCTGCTATGAGGTTTTCTCTGAATATAAACCCAGGAGTAGGATTGCAAGATCATATGGCAGTTCTATTTTTAGTTTCCAAAGGAACCTCCATACTGTTCTTCTCAGTGGTTATACCAATTTACATTCCCACCAACAGTGTAGGAGGGTTTCCTTTTCTCCACACTCTCTCCAGTATTTATTGTTTGTAGATATTTTGATGATGTACATTCTGACCTAGGTAAGGTGATACCTCATTATAGTTTTGATTTGCATTCCCCTAATAATGAGTGATGTTGAGCATCTTTTCATGTGGTTTTTGACCATCTGTGTGTCTCCTTTGGAGAAATGTCTGTTCAGATCTTCTGCCCATAATTTGATTGGGTTGTTTGTTTTTTTATCTCGAGCTGCCTAAGCTCTTGTGTATTTTGGAGGTTAATCCCTGTTGGTTCTTTTGTGTGCGAATATTTTCTCCCATTCTATAGGTTGTCTTTTCGTTTTATTTATGGTTACCTTTGCTGTGCAAATACTTTTAAGTTTAACTAGGTCCCATTTGGTTTTTTTGTTTGTTTGTTTTTATTTTTATTACTCTAGGAGGTGGATCCAAACAGTACTATGCTGTTTTGATGACTAG